TCTTACAAACGAGAGATATCAATCTTCGTCATGCACAATCTACAATTAAAAAACAGATATATGAGCTTAAAGTTGTGTAATAAAAAAATTCTACACTTGCTAAAACTCACAAGTGTTAAAATATTAACATACCAAAATGAAAGGACAAAGCTATGTGATTGTTGCTCCAATAACGTCTTCAATTGTAATAAACAATCCATATGCTATAACCAAACTTTCCCTCCTTTATGATGAACAACATCCCCAACCTACAAAAACGTGATTGAAGAACAAGATTATAAGATTTTATTAAGTTCCATAATAATCTTGATTTTGCAGAATTAAGCAAGTGTTCATCAGCATCAGCATCTGGTAGCTTTTAAAAGAATCAAAAAAACAGGGTTGTACAAAAAAAGACGGACCAGAGAGAGACTCAAATCAAAAAAGGTATGATCAGCTTCGATAAACCAAAAGCTCTGGTCATATAGACACACTTACGCACATGGTTTAAGAAAGTTATTTAACTATTTCTAATATATTTTTACATAATAATAATTAGAATATTATGATARTTCTATTATCATCTCAAATACACTTTTTAAAAGAACATTATATAAAATCATAATAATTCAATCTTGATATAGAGACTTATGGTCTSCTGGTTACTTAGAAGAATTTTAGCTATTATTGTATCATAAGAAGTATAATGAGCATGAGACTCACTAAGTTGATTTCAGATTTTCTAAATAGATAATGAACCAGAGGTCACGTGGACTAGATCTACATAGCCCGATCTTTTAAAAACTTGCTGTCAGCTTTGCGCTGCTGTAGCTTTTTGCGCACAACTTTCACTTCAAAGCTCCAAATTTCRTGATTCCAATTGCATTGGAATGATAAAACATATATCTACATCTTTGATATTTTGAGTTTTCTCAAATTCAATATGAAGATACGACTTATTCTGTGTCAAAGTCTGTAGATGGGTGCTGGACAGAAGCTACGTATTTTACTCCTTTCTTCCTAATTTCAGAACRGTGTTCTCTCGTCTGTTCTTCATAGATTCAAGATACGATTTTGATATATTATATGTCACTCCCTAATTTGATCTTAAAGTTTCAAGCTCTGAGCTTCAAAGTTTACTCAACGAGGTTTACAAAGACAAATGTTTGTTTTAACGACTGTTTTGCGCAGCTGTGAGAAACCATGCACAACTCACTCAATTTTCATCCAAAATGTATGAATCAGAGATTGATGAAAAGCTAAGAGTCTGGAGTTCAATGTTTATGTTTTGTATTTTCTCTCAATGAATCTTCTTGATAGTCAAAAACAGTGATGAAGTTGACACATGAAAGCTGGACATAAAGTTTAAAATGTATGTTTTTCAACGACATATTGTATTTTTTGTCTCTTTAGGAAAGAACAAACCCAACTAACCCACTGACAAGATTCATAATCAAGCTAACCATCCAACCCAACAAACCCACTGACAAGATTCATTTAGTCCAGTAGGTAAGTGGGACA